TGGCTGGCTGGGGAATTCTGGGAGTTGAAGTCCACTCATCTTAAAGTGGCCAAGTTTGGACAACACTGGTTTAGAGGGTTAAGCCAAATTAATAGGGCTCAGCAACTGAATATATCTATTATCGCATTAGATTCCGTACCCCTCAGCATTACTTAACAGAGGTGCTCAAGAGTATGTATTACATCATAGTGTAAGAGCAGAAAGAGTAGAGAGAATCTTATTGATTCCATATTAGAGCTGTAGTGCAGCTGCCAAAGTTGGCATACAGAATTGGAACAGTAAATGAAATGAAAAATGAAGCTGCCTTTCAAGATTGAAGCTAGCTGTCCAAAGCACAACCAGAAAGAGAAAAAAAGTATTTAGTTTTCAAAAGCTACTGAGTCAGACCATTGAATTCATCTAGCTGAGTACAGCTTACACTGACCCACAGCAGCTCTCCAGGGTTTGAAATATGTGTTAGGCTTCTGCGTGCAAAGCCCACATGGCAGAGTGCAGATGTTGCCATCCTGCCCACCCTCCTCCGCATAAGAATGTCACCTGATTCAACACAAATGTTTTGAAGGTGGAACATTTCACAAAAATATACTCATTGCCCTTCTTAAAGTCATAAAAATGTTGGAGAAAAATGGATAAATATCTCATCTGCAGTAGAAAGGTAGAAATTCATCAAGTTTTACTCTAGCCAATTGCAACATACTCATATATTTGGTTACATTTAAAAAGATAAATGTTTGTATCTCAAATACTTAAAAAGGCAAAACTTAAAAAATGTCTGAGACATTAACTGAAACTGATGCCCATGTACCTCCAAGCTTAATGGCACTTACTTACAAGTAATCATGCATGATTTATTTTTCATTGAATGTAGCCTTGATTTGGACTAAAACTTGACTTGTATAGAAAGAATGAATTAGTAATTTTGTTTAACACTTCTAAAGTCAGAAGAAGAAATTTGGAAGAAGCAAGATTTCATCCTCCATTTATTTATTAATTATTTCCTGTTTTTCATCACGGATACTTATTACCTTCAAGTAAACAGATGGAAATCACACTGTATCTCAGTTTCCATCAATCTCTGGCTAGAAAATACATTATTCATAGCATCTTATCAGCCAAGCTTTTAGACTGAGTTTTGTCTAAAGGGAAGCTTAAGAGAGTTCAAAGATAACAATACTTTAATATGCATTTGAGGATGCATTCAGTGGCACTGACACCACCCAGTGGAAGCATAGAAAAGTTACTATAATACTGACATGTATGCAACAAAGATCACTTTGTGTGTGGTTCTCAAAAAATCCTGGCCACAAGTGCTTTGGCAACAGGTACTCACACACTAGCCTAACATTTTGTGAATAGGTACTCTCAATATATAAACTAGATTCAAACTATCCAATAGATATATTTATATACAATTATTTGGCATATTTTTTCCTCAAAAACATGAAGAAATCAGATCAGCAAACCAATGACTGAAACTGAGGCAACACTGTCACCAATACCACCTTGCTTGCTAGATATGAGCAGCCAATGTTCATCCATACAACTTAGTTTTCACATATAGCTAGCAGTAATTTTTACAATAGCCTTGTAAAACAGATTGTTAAGACCACTGTGTATTCCAAACAATTTTTTTCAGGCTGAGGTAAGTAGCCAAATCAAAATTTGGAAGCCAGCTTGTTGCTCACACTCTTGACAGTTAAACTAAAAGTCAGCATGGTTCCAAAGCAAAAATGCCCCATCCTCTCTGTTTAGAAAACTGGGTCCTACAGCAATATCTCTTCTTTGCAGTTTTACAGACATTTGAAAGACCATTTTACTCCCAGGCATACAAGCCACTTCAAGAGCTATTTATTTATTCATTTAAAACTCACTTTTCCTCCAGGAGCTGAAAGTGGCTCTTTTATCCAATTTTTTCCTGCAGCAACAATCTTTTCCTTCTCTTGTAGTCTATGTTCAGAGAAAATGACCAATTCAAAATCACCCAGTGAGCTGCTGGGGCAAGGGTGAACACAAATCTTGAGATCACCACATTTAGTCCAACACCACAATCACATAATACTTTTAAACATTTCTAGCATAGAGTAATGCTTGGATGCTAAAGAATGGAATGGAATTTCAGGCTTTCGGCCAGCTGTGTTTTCCAACTGAATTAGTGAAATGGCTATTTTAAATATCAGTGTTCTAAGATATCTGCACACCACCACTTCGGAACAGCTTTATACACATCCAGTAAAATGCTACCAAACTGATACTTATTACATACTGGCTGGAAAGACAAACTTCTACCTGTCAAATAGCAAGACATTTCTAAAGTGATATCACAATGTAAACTAGACTACCTGTTTGGAACTTGGATTAAAAAAAGGTCAGTCTGAAGTTCTATAGACATTACTTGCTAATACCCATAAGCAGGGGAGAGTGAGGGTGTATATCCAAGGAATCGTTCCAAATAATGAATGTCTCACTCATTATTTCAATTTGAGTCTGATAATTACTGTAAGCTAGTACAGTGGTATTAACAACACCACAAATTAAACACTGCCATTAAAGCCAATGTTCCCTTTATTGTTTGTTTATTAATGTAGCATTATTATACATATATTATTAGTTTTTTAAAATCATGACAGAGCCAGATTATGATTAAGCATTACATAAAGATGTTGAACAACTGGATAATTTCCCAGCAAAATAGTGACTTTGACTTGCCAGGTGTTTTGCTCTGAGTCCAGTACTTGAGATTTGTGACCAATATGCCCATAAAATCTCAGCCACATGATAATGGGGTTTGTTGCATCATAGCCACTGTAGATGATATCCACTTCTCTCTCAATAGTTTCCAAAAAGTCTGCAGGCTAGGGAAAGCAAAGTGACTGAGATTTAGTTGATTTAACTTGTCTACAGTGGTTGTGAGTCCAGTGAATTGTGGAATAATTACTTAGGTACTAAATCACAACATGATTTACAGCTTTAGGATTCAATACTTACAAACACATTTTTTTGACTTTCAGAGAGGCTAACTTTACTATAGGTATGGTTAGAAAAGCAACTTTAAGCAGTTACCAGGCAAGCATAATTGTCAAATTTTGGGTTCTAAATGCTGTAACAGCCCACATTATTACTGACAAATCTATTATATGTTGCCTTTAAATGTGTACAACAGCTTTCCAGCTTCAACATTTATTTGTAGAAACAAAAACCCAATACTGCAGTGGTATCTCAGAAACTAGGAATGGATGTTAAGACAAGTGGAAGCCTTTGAAAATCAGACAGCAAAACAAAAATTAAATAGACTACTGAAAAAAACAAAACAAATTTCAGTAAATATTTAGCCTTTGAGATTAACCTATATTGAAACATAGAGAAAGAGTTAGCTTTAAATGCCCATTACTTATCTACAACCAGTGCACAATGAGTTATAATAGGTTGGGCTTAGGCAAGATTTCTCCCCAGGCCACTAGACTTCGGCATCTCAGGCCACCGTTACATTGCTCTAAGAAGTTTGACAAGTGGAGCACTGTACATAAATCTGAGATAGTGGCAGCCTCTGATTTACATGTTGTATAGAAAGGATTTATTTTCAAAGAAAAACATTTGTATTACTGTCAGGAACAGTAGTCAGGCCCATCCCTTTGCTGATTCCATTAGCTTTCAATTCATTAGGAATTTTATATTGAAAACAAAAATGTAATCGTTTCACTTGGAGAAGGACGCAGCCCACAAATCATAGATAAAGTATCAGTAATTTACTTTGGTGATTCCAGATTCAGTTCCCAACATTTGTATCCAAAATAGATCAGACAGAAGGTGATTAGAAAGCCTTTTGAAGAAAGGCGTGGCAAATCAGAATAGACTATTCTGGATTAGGTGGACAGAGTGCGACTACTAAAGATATAAGGCAGATTTCCAAGTTCTTGACTGATGCAATTGGTTTTAGCCATTCAGCTTAAGCTCTAACCATTACTAGAATTCCTGCAAAAGCCACCTGGTCAAAGAAAGCCAAATGTAGAAAGTACTGCACATTTTGATATGCAACTAGAACAATGATGCATATTCAGTCTCTTGAAGCAGCAAAATTATCCCTTGTTCACACCAACACGTTTCCCTAAGGGTCTTTCCTCTTTAGCAAAGGCAAACCTATCCCAAGTTTACTAGGTCACTATGGCTGCACTTGTCACTAACTGTTTGACATGGTCAGAGCACCACTAGAGCCACTCACCTGGGGAATTCTGTTTGCTCAGTTTCTAGAGGGGCAGCAACAGATACAGGCAGCTCTGCAGTTGTATTAGGGACTTGTGGTTCTACTGTTTCCTCTACTGTCACAGGCTCTTCCAAATCTGCAGACTTTCTACCTTCCAATCCAGAGTCATGCCCCACTGCTGAGGTGACCTCAACTTCCTCAACTGCAGCAGGCACCTTTGTTCTCTCTCCGGCAGCAACCATCTCCTCCTCTCTTTTCTTCAACTTCTCCTCAATTTCTTGCTGTCTTTTCTCATCATCTTGACGGGCCAGATGTTCAAAGGTTTTGAATGCCTGAAAGTAATACAGCAATCAAGCAACAAGCCAATCATTACCCTACAGACCATCATTAAAGAATAGCAAACACCACAGTAATTTCAAGGAGATAACAGTATTGTTCTTTGCATCAGCTCAGCCCCATGAACAAGTATTTATCTACTTGCCTGATAGCCATAAGCAGTGAATCCACTGCATTTTATGCTGAGTGTAAGGAAAGGGCAAAGTCTATTATGTGTAAAGAAAATTAACTGACAGCGTTCCTATTTGGATTTAAAGAAAAATGCAGATTAAGAGGTTAATGAAGGTCTGCTACTGTACCACAGGTATGAAACTAAATAAAAATAGCTGCACTCCCCATGAGCCAAATTAGCATATCTCTTTAACTGTATTTGTTTTCATCCTTCACTGAAATAAGACATATAGCTGAAGAATCTCCTGTTACTCGTAACTACATACAGCTATTTCATAAACATACTTGGATCCAAGTATTTACTCTCCTTGTGCTGACAACAGCCAGGTTTTATAAAGCAGCTGACAAAAATAATTCAATAACAATTATCAAGCAGTGAACTGTTCTAAAGATAAATAGGAGATATGCAGAAATCATGCTGGAACAGATATTAATCTGTTTTTAATCTGTATTCATTAAGAACATTACTGCAGGTATATAAAAATGAGAAATTCTTAAGGGGAAGTAGTTTAATCCAACATCAAAAGGCAACCCACAGTATCCAACGAAAAGGGCACTGCCTACTGTTGTATCTCCAGATTACATGCAAAGACAACTGGAATTTTGTGCAGCATACAATCCTAGAAAATAGCCATAGTTACTAACAGTTAATAAGACCTAAGAAAGGTTCAAAGAAAAGTGTGGACCTTCCTTCCTCCCCCACTCTACCACCTTTAAAAATAAAGTTTTCTTTGTGTGTAATGCTCGTCTGTTGAACATTAGGTACAATACATATTTTTATTAGACTTTACAGAGACACAAAAAATAATACTCCTCCCCAAGTGGTGTAATTAATTAAAAAATTAAAAAGCAGGGTGCTGAAAATGGAAAGAAGTAGACATAGGACAAGAATTTGTTTTCAGGTGACATGTTTTGAAATGTTAGCATCAGCAATGGGTAAAGAGTGGATGAGAATCAATACTGTAGACAGAAATATCTATCAAGGTTCATACTTCATACACCAGATAATCTGAAAGTGTTTTCAGATACAGCTGGATAAAGGCATGAATAAAAGACCAGCACACAAAAAGAAATTAGAGAACTGAGGTCCAGCTCATCAGGAAGGCAGCAAATGAAGGAATTTCACTTCATCTAAGATCAGGAAAAAATTGGGTTCACTGGGTGACCTCAATTCTTTTTCACACACAGAGACACATAGGGTTGTTATATATATCACATTATGCCACAGTCTGTCCTTCCTTAAGTCATAACTGGCTCAGTTTGCCCTATACACTAAGCCTAAACTCCATTTTCATGTAGCAGAATTTATGAACCCAGCAAGGTCACACAACATTTATTTATTAGATTTATATGCTCGCTCGTCTCAAATACAAGACTCTGGGCAGCTAACACTATTAAAAACAGGTAAAAACCTATACTCCGCCCTGAATCTCAGTAAACAAAACACCATGGCTGTCTTCACACGAAGTGCCGCAGCCAAACCAACCAATCATTCCATGGTTATCTGCCTAGTTCCCACAACCTGCTGAACCACCAACTTCCGCACCCCACGTTCGCTCCCACTGCCTGGCCTGCTTCACGGGGCTGTTCCGAGGATTTGATCTGAGAAGCTGCCGAAAGAGCTCTGCCTAAAATACCCGGCGGGGGAGTACAATTCGAGCGCCCGTGAGGGAACCGGTCGGCGTTGGGGATGAAGGACCCAACCAGGCTTACTCGGACGGCCATGCTCTTCGCCACGCCGGGTGGGAAGCCCAGCCGGTCCGACGGTTGCAGCAACAGCCGGTAGAAATCGGTCTTGCGATACAAGAAGCCGAAGAGGATGTTCAGGAACTCCTGGACGTTGCCCACATGCTGCAAAATGCCCAGCAACGCCTGGTCGTACATGTCCGTCATGGCCCCAGCGCGCTCCATGAGGCCGGCGGGGACAACGCGCGTCCGGACACGGACCTTTCCCTGGGAACGAGGCTAGAGCCGCCCGGACGCCTCAACCAGCCCGCCGCCTGCTCGCCCGGGCAACCGAAGACTACTCCGCTGTCACGGCAACCCCAACCCGAAGGGCAACACGGTCACGTGACCGACCCGCCTTTTCCGGCCCTTTCCCCTAAGGTTTCCCCGAGCAGCTTCCGGTTGGGCGAGCGCTGCGGTTCCCCCTAGAAAGCTTTCCTTTAGCGCCTCTCTGCGCGTTGCGCTGGAAGCGTTTTCAGCATCGCTGCGCGTTAGAAGAAAATCCTCTCAGGAAACCAAGAAAGAAAAAAGAGGCTCCTCGCGCTGCTCTAGGGGGTCCCCCACCCCCACACGCGAATGTTGTTAAATAGTCGTATCCGGGGCTGGGGTGTTGGTTGCAAGAACTTGGCAAGTAGAGGAACGGAAGGGCAAAGCATGATTCAGAAGAGGGCTGGGCAGCGATAGGGAACCGAGGGGGAAAGGGGGTCGGGGTGCGTTGCGCGGGCCCGCCGCCTCTGCGGGTGCAGGGAGCCGGGTGGGAAGATGCGCGCCTCTGCACGATAGCCCTGCTGGGTTGGACCGGCGTTTCTCAACCCTGGCGACTTTAAGAGGTGTCGACTTCAACTCCCAGAATTTCCTAACCAGCATGCTGGCTGGGGACTTTTGGGAGCTGAAGCCCACGCATCTTAAAGCATGCTGGTGGGGGAATTCTGGGAGCCGAAGTCCACGCAGCTTAACGTTGCCAAGATTGAGAAACCCTGGGTTAGACCACGGACCATTTGTTTCAGCATCTCCCCCCCCGGGAGGTTCAAGACCTTTTTGCTTGCTGCTTTTGACTATTTTGCCAAAGACCAGCTGTCAAGAATATATCTACTTTCAAGGGTAGCTTATGGAAAGTAGGAAATTATGATGTAACCTTAGAGAGGGTAAAATATAAATGCATTTATAACCACTGTTATAAACCACTGTTACAGTGTAAGATTGGAAGCTACTTCTTTATAATCTTTTCTCTTTTTTTTCTATTTTCTTTCTCTATTTCTTTTCTAATACTTGTTTTTCTAAAAACAAGATATTGTTTTCATCTTCTTAAACATTTCTTCAATAAAAATTATATTAAAAAAAGATATATCTACTTTCCTCAAAGTTAGACACACATCACAGAATTTCATAGATCTCTGTCATGTCAATGATCTTGGCAAATCACTGGATGAAATTAATTTCAATGTTATGAAGAGAGGACCAAAAAAACTACCCATTTTTTTCCCATCCTGTAATTTTTAAACTCCCAAAATTCCCCAGCCAGCAGGGGAATTGAAGTCCACCCATCTTAAAGTAGCTGAGGTTGACAAACACTGCTTTACTGAGTATTGTATACTGTATCTGCAATGGAGGAGAGGCATCTGTACACATATAACTAACATTTTCTTAGATTTTATTTATCCTACAGTTTGATCCTTTACTTCCTAGTATAATATACTTAGGATTTCATTTCTCACCACAGACAGACACACACAAAGTAAAGATACCCTATTAATTATAAGAAAAAATCCAGGATTATTTTAGGACAAGACCTTTATTAACCAAGTTCAAGTCAATAAAGAGTATGTAAGTTTTCAAGGTCTTCAGATTTCTTAATTAGGATGATTAACCAAAGCAGCAAAAAAAAAAAGAGTGAAGCCACTAAAGTCTGCATTTCATTCCTCTTAAAATACAACGCGCTAACATGCTGCAGATATTCTCATTAGGTTTTTCCAAGAGGTATTATAGTTTAAAATTGCAACCAAAATTCTCCAAAACAAGACAGATGTAGAAAAAAGACCATTTTTGATCCCCCCCTTTTTAAGTTACTAAATCTATGTGTTACTTTGACCTCATTTCTAAAATAACACACCTTTTTAATGTTGCTATAAATATATCTCTAATCTTTTTCTAAAGATCTTAAATATATCTAGTCATCCTTTCACACTTTCTTTCAGAGGCTTCTTTTCCTTTCTCAGGAAGGATCCCACATACTTCCTAATTTGTTTTCCTCTTTTTTCTTTCATCAATTCTTATGCATAAGCTTCTTTAAATAATTATTCTGGTTTTTCCTGGGCATGCTGGAAATGAAATAAGCCAGTCTTTCTTAAAGCATGGTTCTAGGACCCCTACAGGTCCCCCAAGACCCTCTCAGGGGTCCGTGAAATCAAAACTATTTGCCAGCCTATGTTGAAAAATAATTTGTGAGAAGTGGTAGCGGCAGCGAATGCATCAATTTTAATTTTTAATATAGTAAATGTTCATAAATATAACCCATACAAATAAAAGCTCTTTTGGGGTCCTCCATTATTTTTAAAAGTGAGAAGGGCTCCTGAGAGAAAAAAGTTTAAGAAGCACTGCCTTAAGCTACTCTAACCTGCTATATAAGATGCCCTCATCAAAATCTCCACCCAGGTTACACTGGGGAGGAACAGTACTATGTCTAATCAAGATGGCACATTTTGTGAAGGACATATGCAAAAGTAGAGCACATGGTGCACTTCCAGTGATGGATCTAGTTAAGTCCTATGAGGAATTTCTTAGTCCTTTACAGAGTGAGAAATTAAAAGTGTTCTTGTTGGGGTTGTCACAAGGAAGAGAGAACAGATATGTCCTGTTTTGCTCATAAGGGCTAGACTAGATCCAGTGAGAAGATTTCTGCTAAACAGGAGAATGTTTCTTAACAGTGTAAACTGTTTGAAGGTGGAATCAACTTTCTTGGGAGGTAATAGATTCTTCCTTGTTGGAGAGAAACCAGTTGCTCATCTCTGAGAAATTGTGTATTTGCATCCCTCATTAACAAATTTTGCACTGAGTAGACAGAAGGATCTACGCTGGAGCTGCCTTCATGTGCAAATGACTGAGAAGCATTAATTTTCCAAAATATATTCCTGTTGTGAGAAATATAAGAGATGCTAAAAAGCATTGTGATTTTGGTGACCAATAGCAGGCTCCCACAGGTTTTCAGTAGCTTCTGACCACTTTTCTGTCTAGAAAAATGCACAAAGTTTGAACCATCATTTCTATACATTTAGATTTTTTTAGAAAAAAATGTTTGGTTTGGTTTTGGCCCACCAGTCCCCTGGGGAAAACAAAGCAGGGCACCCTCTCCTTTTGTTACTTTAGCAAACCTCTCTTCGATTTCATAACCTGATCTCCTCAGAAAACTCACCTGCATCAATTTCACAACCCCTTCATCAGTTTCACAATGTTCTTGATCTTCTTCTGCAAATGTAAACAGCCTGTTTCTTCAGGTAACAAGTAAAATTGATATTACCACAGCCTTCAAACACATATTCAGCAAGACATGGAAGAAGTGATTGCCTGAAAGGCCTGTTGGAAGAGCCCTTAGAGAGGGAAAAATCACTTTTGGAGGAAGAGTGCGTTAGAAAGATATATTGGAGTATTGTGCATTCCGTGAGTGGGACAGTCAGCATACTGATGGCATACAATTATCAGAGTCCATTATCTCAAAACGTCCCTCCACCTTTCAAATTCAAGGATCCTACGGTCCATTTCTCTTTCTCTTCACAAGATGAACCATCATCACAACGTGAACCTTCTTCATTATGTGTTCACAAATGAACACAATATAAAAAGCACCGTTTTTTTTTTCTTTTCAGAAGAATACCCTTAGGTTACATTCAGATAAGCAACAATCAGAGAGGGCCACTGGAAGCTCCATTACAATCCCCATGCCCACTGACAGGCATAGTGTAGCTGGTTGTTTCATTCATGGAATTTAAAGGCATTTCTATCCCAAAGTGATGATGGCTGCACGGAGACAGAGAATGACTCACTTGTGGGCTATACATTGTAGCTGTGATTTCTGCAGTAGAAAAAGAAAGATGTTCCCGTATCGTTGTCCACCTGGTGAGACACTTGCAATACCTATGAAAAAGGAGAAACTGTAAGATAGTAACTTACCACATTTATTTTGATAGTTTTCCAACATACATAAATCAACTTCTAGGAAGACTAGTCAACCCGCAGCCCTCTAGATGTTGATGAATTACTTTTTCCAGCAACTTCATCTAAAATGATTCATGGAAATGGAATCTTGGAGCTATAATGCTGCAACATCTGGAGGATCATAGGTGTCCCTTCCAGTCTAACCAAAAGGTTAGGATGATCCTTAATAAAGACACATGTATATTAATGCAAAAGGACAACAATCAGTTTAAAAACAAGTGAAAAAGAGCTAAAACTACAAATACCCCAGGGATAAAAACACCCACATAATGGATAAAGTGCAAAGAAATAAGACTAGAGAATTTTTTTTAAAAAAACAAAACACTATGCCTGGTACCCCAGAAGTGGGTTAGGCCTGATTAGCACTTGGATGGGAGTCCCCCACAAAAATGCCAGGGCTGGTATGCCAGGCTGGGAAGTTGAAAAACACCCCAAAAACAAGCAATGACAAGCCAATTCTTTATGGTTGTCAAGAAATCACCTTGGACATATCCATGAAATCACCAGGAATTTAGGCTGATTTGAAGAAGACTTCACCTTTCTATACTTTCAGGATATGGAATACATACCACAGAAAACAGGGTGCACTCTACTGAAAAGGCTTCTATTGATTAGCCATCCACAATTGTCTGGGAATAATGGTAATCGTAGTCCAGCACAATCTAGTTGAAGGAGGCCTATCTCAAGGAGAGCAAAACTTCCCCAGCCTGAGTGTCCTTCGTCTCTTATACTGCTACTCTTTTAAAACATTTTCGTCATTATTGATTACTTTCCACATCTAAGCCAAAGTGTGTTTTTATGTACATTACCCCAAATAATTTGGGTCTTGAATATCTCAAGGGACACCTTTCTCCTAATGTTTCTCCATGAAATTAGAGAAGTCCGCTCCTGTTACCATAGTTTCTTTGGATGACAGATAGCCAGTATTTCCCACAAATAAAGGGTTACCAGGTAGGAGTCCCTTCCCCAATGTAGCCACCTCCAGATACACTGGATGATGGCACCCATAATTCCCAGCATGGTAAGGGATGCCCTGGGAGGGAATTATATGATAGCTGTAATCCCTCATAACTGGAGGGAAGATTAGCCATTCCTACCATGACCTGGAGATGCTCTAGTGAGTTGTGCTCTCCCACCAGGACACCTCCTGTTCTTTGCCCCCACCTGGACTGGGCCATCCTCTCCTGGAAGAACTCGGTGCAGAAAATAACAAGAATGGGGCTGACACAGCTGTGAGCATAGCTGAGGCAAATAGTAGCCTGGTATAGGTAGAAGAAGGTTGTCGAAGGAGTGGCTGTCAGATTGACCAGCTGCAGCACGTGATAGGGTGTCCAGCAGATGAAGAAGGCAGCAATGATTGTGAGTGCCATGCGAGTCACTTTCCGGCTGCGGGCAGATGCCTTCCGATGCACACGGCGCATGGCACGGAATAGGTGGTGCAAAGTCAAGGAATATAACACCGTAATCACCAACAAAGGGAGTAGGAATGCTACTAAGGATTGGTAGAGGGTATACCAGTACATGCTACGGGGACTTGGCAAGTCAATAAGGCAGATCTCAGTCTTGTTGTCCCAAAATATCCGGGTGTACAGCATAGCGGGAGTAGCCAGAATCAAGCTTCCAGCCCATATGCCAGTGTTGATCACTGCTGTGCAGCGCAAGGTCCGCTTCTGGCCAATGGTAGATGAGTACACCACTGCCACATATCTGGGGAAGAGACATGTGGCCATTAAGAAAAGCTCATCTCCTATAGAAGACATGGCTAAATATCTACTAAAGATGTACATATCGGGTAAGAGAACTCATCCTTTGCGGATATTTGTATGTATGCATGCATTTTCTACAGAGCAGTTACTGAGACCAATGTTTGAGATGGAAGATAGCACAGGGGCTGAAAAACTGGCCTAGAGTACCTGCTTTGGTCCAGATTCAATACCTGGCATTTCCAGGCAGGGCTGGGAAAATGCCTGTATGGAACTCTGGAAAGCTGCTAATAGTCCACGCTGATTAATCTGAGCTGATGGCCTGACCTGGCAGAGCCCAGTTCCCTGTGTTCCTATAAGCACAACCTGCCACTGCACCTTTTGCTCCTTCATCTGACCACCCTGCCCCTTTGGAAACTACCAGAAATTTTTCCCTCACCACCTTTCACCAAATGTATCATACGGAAGGTTCTAAAGTGCTTCAAGACCCATAAGCTTGGGAAGACACGATTGACATTTTTGGTAAGCATTCCCTAAACTTATTTCTATGACAACCAAAAGCATTTCCTGTCTCTTCCTCTTGGTTACCACCAAAGAGCAGAGGAAGCAAGGTTAGCGAATTTTCTGCAAGACTGACCATGTCTTCTGGCAGGAACCTGACCTAAGTATATAGAGCATCCGATGCTTCTGAAACAGACACAGAGCACTTGGTCTTCACATCCCCTGCCCGTGTGGCTGCTGCCTCCAGCTGTTCCACCTCCCTCAGGAAAGAACTCTGGTCCCACCCACCCTGTCTTCTTCCTTCTGCACTAGTTTAGCCCCTACCTGTCTATGCAGAGCAGAGTGACAATGGCCACACTGCTGAACTGGTTATTGAGATCAATAGTAGTTGCAGCCCAACACAGAAAGTCCCCAAATACCCAGCCTCGCTCCTGAAGAAGCTGATGGATGATGAGTGGCATCCCAAGCAGGAACAACAGGTCAGCCACGGCCAAGTTCAGAATGTAGATGTCCGAGACGACCTTCTGTTTGCAGCCCAACACCACTGAGATCACCAGCCCATTGGCCAGGACACCAGAGGCACAGATGAAGGCATAGATGATGGGAAGCACTAAGGAGACAGCTGGACCCGGAGAGCTGCCATCAGCCTGCGTGCACTCTGAATATTGCTGCACCAGTTCAGTGTCCTTCAGAGACTGGTTGACTACAGGTGGTGTAGGAGTTCCAGATGAAATGTTGAACCCAAAAGAAAAGTCACAGATTCTATCCAGCAAAACACCCATGGCAAGGGTTGTTTGGCAGCCAAGGTAACTTCAACCCAGCCATTCAAATGAGCGTGGGAAGGAGAAGAAGTTTTTGGACCCCAAAGAGGACATCATGTCTGCTTAAGTCTTACACAGTCATTCAGGCATAGCTTCTGGAAGAACAGCAAGATATGTCCCCCAAAGGTGGATATTTGCAGTGTAGCTTGATTTTCTGGTAGAGGATTATTCCTGCCCCAGATGCTGGGATGTCCATCCTGTACCTCTGTCCCAGATCAGTACCTAGAGCTCTTCAAGGAGGAACTGCCATGCTGTTTGCTTCCTTGCTTTCTCATACTCACATGCTCTCCCTTAGGGGTAAATCAAAGTCTCTGAGTTAGTTTCTTCCACATTAAATATGAATAAACAATAAAAACATAAACTTGTCAGCCAGAAACTATCCTTGCATCAATGTGAAGGTTGTGTTTTATGTGTTCTATGGTTTTTATATTTTTAAAGCTGCACTGGGGTGGCATTTAATTTCGTTGTACGAGAAGTACAGTGACAATAAAGATTACTACTACTAAGGAGAAGAAAGGAGAGGAACTAAACAATAGGGTTGAACAGACAGGTCTGGAAATAAATTACTTTCCCAGTTCCAAAAAGTTAACCAGCCTTTCCCAACCAAGTAGCTTTCAGATGTGTGGGCTTCAGCCACCATACCCTCCAGCCAACAGAGGCAGCAACCACATTGACTGAGGGCGATGGAGGTTGTAGTCTCACGCATCTATAGAGGCATCCCCTGAAAAAGAAGACCACTCTCAGTCCTAGCTCCTTATCCTATTCTGGAAGATAATATTCCTCCTCCTCCTCCTCCTCCTCCACCTGCTTTTGCACTCAACGCTGAGGCTGCAATTACCTCAGATGTCACCCATGGGCAAGGTCCCACCCAAAGTATAGCACAATGTTTTCCACAATCAGGTGAATCCGTACTTTTCATTCCTGGTAACATCCCCAGTTGATTATTCCCAAAGTTCTTTACATTTTTTTTTTCATTTTTCTCATGCTTCTTCATGAGGTAATGAACTTCACTGAGCAAACTACTACTACTAAATCATCTAAACTAGTATTTCTTAAAGCATGCTCTGAGGATCCGTGAGGGTTCCTCAAGACTCTCTCAGGGCTCTGTGAAATCAAAATTATTTGCCAGATACGGACAATATCTTTAAAACAATGTCACTCTTCTCATTATTTTTTTTGTTAAAATAAGTATAGTTTTTTTCATGAAAAACATTTTATGTTAATATCTAATGGGTTTAATATTGTTATTTTTACATGATTCAATAAATAAATATCCTACAAATGCATCAATTTTAATTTTTAATAAGGTAAATATTGATAAATATAATCCATACAAACAAAAGCTGCTTTGGAGGTCCTCCATAAGTTTTAAAAGTGGGAAGGGGCCCTGAGAGCAAAAGGTTTAAGAAACATTGATCTGAACATTAGATCAGTGTTTCTCAACCTTGGAAACTTTAAGATGGGTGGACTTCAGCTCCCAGAATTCCATAGCCAGCCATTCCCCAGAAGTCCACACATCTCCAAGTTGCCACGGTTGAGCAACACTGCAGTAGATGGTATTTGCTTTTCATCTTTCCTCCAACAACTCAAAAGGGCAATCACAGTGCTTCTTCTTCCCACAACCGCCCTTGAAATATGTTGGGCTGGCAGAGAAGGAGTGACCTGAAGTCCCGCAGGGAGCTCCCATGGTTGAGGAGGACCTGAACAAGGGTCTTCCCAGTCCCAGTCCTAGTCCAACACATAAGCACAACCCAACCACCAAACGTTCTTTTCTCCCCAGGAATCCCAGTGTGTTAAAAAAGCCTTGCTGGCTTCACCTCCATAGAAAAGGATCCTGAAATGTAAATGAATGAATAAATGTAAATAAATGTATATAATAAATATATTTATTTAAATAATAAATAAATGAAATGAAATGAAATGAAATGTAAATAAATGAATAAATGGCTTCACCTCCATAGAAAAGGATCCTGAAATGTAAAGGAAATGCAAACTTGAATTACCCCAGCCCTGAAATCTACAGCCAATGCCTTGGAATAACATTGGTTAGACTGAAAAAGTGCTACCAGATTCCTTCCTTCCTTCCCTCCTTCCCTCCTTCCTGATTTCTGCGTCTCATAGCCTAATCCGGCTCTCTTCCTCCAATGTCTATTGTCATTAAGAAATCATCACACACACGTACCCCACCAACACCTAGTGAAGGCAACTACAGCTACAGGCACGTGATTCCAAGCCCCCCATCCCCACAGAGGTGCTACGGCAGGGCAAGAGACGGACGCCAAGCAAGGCGGCCCAGAAAAAAGTGTCTTCCCCCCCCCGCCCACTCCCACCCATCAAACCGGCTTCACTCCGCTTTCCTGTCGGAAGAAGCGCGCCCAGGATTGCTGGCGGTGCGGAGGAAGAAGCGCGCCCACCCCGCGACGAATTATATCCCGCAATAGCTGAGTCCGGCCGCCGAGCCCCCACTCCCCTTCCCGGCCCCATCGCAGAAGATTTACCGCGGGCTCTTCGCCGCGCTGCTGCAGACACGTGTGTGCGCGGCTGACCGTGGGAACGCGCAGCCCTCTCCCAGTTCGCCTGTGCGCGCGATCTCCAACCCCCCAGACATGCTAAAAACAGGTCGCCGTCCCTCCGCCCCTTCGGCTTCCTTTTAAAAAGAATCGCACGCTGCTCACCTTTGTCTGAAACGTCAGCGTTGTAACACGTGGCGTGAACAGGGGGGAGCGGGGCAGGAGGCCGCCTCGCCGCCCGCCCACGCCCAGCCCCGCATCTTCTTCCCGGCGGATCCCGCCGCCGGGCTGCTGGATCCGGACTGCGCAATTCTGAGCGGCCACCAGGGGACGTCAAGGAGAACCCTCTTTGCAGCCCTCTGAAGGCGGTCTGAGTTCTGCAGGCCACCCGTGGGAGCCTCTGAGGGGGAAGGGAGGACGGACAGGCGCCTTCTCCTTGATCATCGATTCCGACAGAGCAAGGAAGACCAGCTGCATCACATCAGGGTGGGATCAGCCATTATGTCAAACCATGGCTTAATTAAGCAAGGCTAAATGACCCACAGGCCTGGGTTCACCCAGCCCAGCTGAGTCAACAAAACCCACCTGACAGAGCACAACAGGGACAGACCAAGCACACCCAGGATGGCTTGATGCAAAGGATGAACTCACCTCAGTCCCAGCCAGCTTTTCTCAGTTTGGGGCTCTCTGGGTGATTGACGTGGTCTATTTGGAATCTCCAGCCAGCTTTGCTCCTGGCAGATGAAGTCTAATTCGTATGAGGGCATCAGGCTGAGAGCCCTCCATTCCACTGAAGAGAATTCATTGCCTTTTGGTCAAGCCAGACCACCTCACATAAAGCATGATGCAGCCCTCCAGGGTTTCCCAACCATATGTGAAAATGCCAAGATTTAGCAATCTAGTTATATGCTGGGTTGTGGAGTTCACTTCCCAGCTTTCCTCTCAGTTGGCTCCCATTGAGTTGAGGCCTTCCAGTAAGTGACTGTGATCTGTCCAATACTGGAATAGTCCACTTATGGGGATTGTGAGTTCCCTATTTTGGAAGGTTCTTGAGAAGAGGCTGCTGGACAGACACCTCTCATGGATACAGTAGTTGAATTGTAGAGGGTTGGACTAAAACAGTGTTGTCCAAACTTGGCCACTTTAAGATGAGTGGACCCATGCTGGCTGGGGAATTCTGGGAGTTGAAGT